GAGAATTTCGGACACGAATTCGTGAGAAAAAGATTTATTGGAATCTTGAGTTGGTTGCAAATCGAGGTAAGTGTCGTGGTTAACCTTGACTTGAGGGAATAGAACCCTTGAATTATTTGCTATGTGAATTTCATGTGTAACGATTTATAGGCAAGGTGACGAGTTCCTATACTTTGTCAAATTAATTGTTTGCTTAATTATTTAAACATCTTAAATTGTTTTAAGACACAAATTAATTGATATAATAATTGTTTCTCTCCTATTCCTTGTTAAATATCATTTCTTGAATTCCTACAATAATTGTTACATGCGTATTTAATTGATGTGTCTTAATTGGTACTTGACATTTAGCATATTAAAAATTAAACTGTCTATTTATTTAAACTGACATTTGGGGGATCGGGTTGCACACCGCAACAGATTTATTTAAAGTTTATATTGGGGGATCGGGTTGCACACCGCAACAGATTTATTTAAAGTTTATATTGGGGGATCGGGTTGCACGCCACAACAGATTTAGATTTATTTAAAGTTTATATTGGGGGATCGGGTTGCACGCCGCAACAGATTTATTTAAAGTTTATATTGGGGGATCGGGTTGCACGCCGCAACAGATTTATTTAAAGTTTATATTGTTAGAGCGGGTTGCACGCCGCAATGAAAATAAGTTGAGGGATTAAGACTGCTGAATTGACTTCAATTATTGATATTATTTACCGATCTTACTACTATTCTTGTTATTATTATTATTATTATTATTATTATTATTATTATTATTATTATTATTATTATTATTATTATTATTATTATTGTGTAGAGGTTAATGTAAGTGACCTGCCTTAGCCTCGTCACTACTTCGTCGAGCTTAGGCTCGGCACTTACAGAGTACATGGGGTCGGTTGTACTCATACTACACTCTGCACTTCTTATGCAGATTTCGGAGTTGGTCCCAGCGGCGTACCATAGATTGGATCGGATTTCAGCTGCCTAGAGGAGACTTGAGGTATAACTGCACAGCGTCCGCAATTCTGAAGTCCCCGTCTCTTTATTTTAGCTGTGTGTTTTCTTTCAGACAACTTTATTTTATTCAGACCCTTATTTGTATTATTCTAGAAGTTCGTGCACTTGTGACTCCAGTTCTGGGATGGTATTTAGATATCGCGTTTATTATGGATTATTCACTTTAGTTCAGACTTTATTTCCGTATTTATTTCTTTGTTATTAGTTAATTTAAAATTTATGTTAAAATGGCTAATTATATTCTAATGTTGGCTTGCCTAGCAAGTAAAATATTAAGCGTCATCACGATTTCGAATGTGGAAATTTCGGGTCGTGACACATGCCAAAAATTCATTTCTTATGTTGGTGTTAGAGTCTGACCCATCAAATTATTCTTGGGCATAGTATAAAATTCAGAACTCAAACTCGACTCAATTAGTAAATGAATTAAGCTAATTAATCAGAAGTTTGACCGAGTTAAAGATTTAAAGATTTTTACTTTTAGTAACAAAATACTTTTTCAAAGATCCCATGTGCTTAACTTGTCATAACTTAAGAAATTATTCATAACATATTGACTTTTTAAATGATATAAGTGAACAACTCACTTTACTTCGATAGAAATATCATAACAAGATAAAGTTTAGTATTACCTACCTATAATGTCCTTTTAAATTGACTAGACTCACTAAATATTTACTACTATAAACCATTGAGTCAACCGAGTTTGTACCTTATTTTACTTTTCAATTTTTAGTGTTTCTATTGCATGGCAGCATGGGAAAGACAGGACAAAGGATACAATGAATATTGAATCCACATCTATTATGAGGGAACAGTGTGAATCAAACTCACAGCAATAGGAAGTTTAGTTCGAATAAAAGTTATGTTGGAATTAGTTATTTCGATATTATTTTTTATTGACTGTTTGATATGTTGTATTAATTTTGAGATTTTCAATTTTACTGCTTTATTCTAGGATAATTTATCCTGGAATTACTATTTCACTCTATGGCAGGTATAAGTTATCCAATACTATTTTTAATCCTGGGATGACTTATCCCAGGATTAGTAACCAAACAAGGGTTAAGACTATTGGGTGTGTGTGAGCAAAGTCCCACATAAGAAGTAGAAAAGAAAAATAAGCTGCTTCTAAGGAATTTGATACTCTTAATGGTGTGAGGCCTTAAGGGAAAAATCGTGCGGTTTGGCCAAAGCGGAGAATATCACACCATATTAAGAGTATCTTTGGGTCGTTTTAGCCTAACAATTGGTATCAGAGCTAACAATTTCGCGAGACTACGAAGATGGCAGAGTATGGCGTGGGGGGCCGACTTAGTGTCTTTGCCTCTCTACGGGGTTTACAACCTTTATCCGTAGCTTTGAAGATGCATACACAACCTTTGGGCTTTGGTAACTATAAATACTCAAGATCATGTGGGTGACACACAATTAATCTCCAAATTAGCCCATAAATAATGATGGGTCGTGTGGAACTTGGTTCAGGGGAGGAATTGTTGGGTGTGTGTGAACAAAGTCTTAGATGAGAAGTAGAAAAGAAAAATAAGTTACTTATTAGGAGTTGGATACTCCTAGAGCCCGTTTGGATTGACTTAATTTAAGTAGCTTTTAAGCAGCACGTGCTGAAAAATACTTTTTAAGTGATAGAGCCAATTTCATAAATAAGTAATTACGTGTTTGGATAAAAGTGATGAAGTTGAAAATAAGTTATTGATATGTTTGACTTTCTTCTATTAAAACGACGTAGATATCCTTAAATATGTTAAACACTATAAAAGAATTGATTACTATTAATTTTATTCTAAATTAATTCACTTTCAGTTTAAATTAATTACCTAAAATAATTAATTCACCGTGAGATAAACATTTCAGTTTCCAATTCAAAAGAAATCAAAAAAGAAAATGCTACATTTGTACGGTAGTTGACCAACATTTAGCAATTATGATTTCTGCCATTAGTAGCTGAATTACATTGATCGCATATGTTGAAATTCAGTCATCTCTGCACATCTAACGTTCAGACATTAAAAAAGAGAAAGAAATCCAAAATAACAAAGAAGAAAGGAGAAAAGCTATCCTGATAGGAAAAAAAAATCGAACTTCAAAAATTTGCAACGAAGGAGATGAGCAACGAAAGACAGACATGGAGAAGAAGAGATGAAGGAGAAGCTGAAGAAAGAATAACCGAGAAGAAATCAGTAGAAATTAGGGCTTGTGTGTGAAGGATACATTTAGAATTTACTTAAAAGCCCATCCAAACGGGCTCTTAATGGTGTGGGGCTTTTAAGGGAAAACCATGCGGGCTTGATTCAAAACGGATAATATCACACTATGTTATGAGTATTTTTAAGTCGTTTTAACCTAACAAAGGCGGTACTAAATACTTATCTCAGAATTATTTTGCTTATTTATCGTACCAAACGACCCCTTAAAGTATATACTTGGATTGTAATAGCGCTTTTACTAAGACGCACCAATTTTAACTTGCATCTTTCACTGAATCAAAAGATTTCCAAACTGAGTCGAGGTAACTCGTTCTAGCTCTGCCAAATTGACTCTAGTTTTATAACAAAGAATTAAATCATCAAAATTGGTAATTGAGATATGAGATATAGGCAACTCTGAATATGACCACATGGTCTGTAGCTTAGATGTAAGAAGTAATTATCGTTAGGCAAGTTGTCTGCTTTAATATTATTGTTAGTACCACTCACCAGAATCAGTTAATGACCTAACCTACCAAATTTTGCTTTTATTACGCATTTTGATGTTGACTTATTACCTAAACGGCGAAATTTCTGCTTCATATGTAATACTCATTATTACGACCACTATTAAAGTATAAATTCCTATTTCACCATAGCCAGGCCATTAGGAAAAAAATAGTAAGGTGAAAGAGTTGGTTTAAGAGATTAGAGAAACGACTAATTTGCAACAATTTGACTACAACTTCACTTTTAAGCGAATAATTAACTCTTTATCCTTACTTTCACTATTGCCAAACAACTGTTATGGTCATGTTCAATTCTTTTTTAAGAAACAAAAATAAAAATCTTTCCAATCCAACACCTCAACACGCCGTTGCCACAATGTTTATTTCAGCTAGCTTGACTCTCTGACACAATATTTATTTTAGCTTGACCTTCAAATATTTGACTTATGAGTCATGACTCATTTCTACATAAATCTTCAGGCTACATAGATGTACCAGAAAAAGACAAGACTTACCAATAATTAGCCATTTTAGTCATGCTATCAAGAATAGCCAAAAACTTTACTAATGATATACAACATTAAAAAAAAAACTAGGCAAAAAAAGATTTTTTTGAATGGGTATTATTAGAATTCACTGAAAACACATAGATGGGGCAATATACAAACTTTGAGGAAAACTAAAGGTGAATTGGACTAGTTTGGAGTCAAAATTCGTTTACCAATGATATACAATATTTTAAAAAAAAAAGGCAAATCAATGAGTATGGATGAAATTCATTGAGAACAAATAGATTAGGCAATAAATAAAATTTAAGATTAGAGATAATTTGGACTGATTTGGTATCAAAAATTATAGTTAATTTCGAGTTTGAAAAGATCATCTACGACACATGTATTAAACATGGTATCATACATGTATCTTAGATACATTTATACTTGGATAAACAAGAGATATATTAGCTTGCATTTTGAAATGCTATTAGCCATATTTGAATTAAAGCTCTTTTATGCAAGAGCAGAATGAAATAACCTACAAATTGTAATCTACAAGTAAAGAGCATCCTAGAGTAAAAATGGGAGAGCGAAGAGAAACTGACATTAATTGAAAACTTTTTGGATTATAATGACATTTGGGCCATTTTTGGGTAGATATTTGTTTTGGGTTAGTTTTGGTTGAAATTGTTTATCCAATGACAGTTTTCTATTTTCTTTATTCAATTGACCACTATATATGTAGGAATTCTCTTTCAAATTAACTAAAACAGAGCTAAGGAATCTTGCCACGCTTCCTTATTGACAACTACACATTTTAGAGAAATTTCAGATACATGGATCACAATGACTCCTCAACTAAATCATCATTTTCTACCCACAACCTAACCTAACCATTATTGTTTATTCAAGATCAAGAAAAAACTCCTAGCAACTCTCAACAATTCTCACCTTCCTCTTTGATCTTCAATGGCCGTGAAACCAAGAAAGCTATTTCCAACTTCAAACCAAACAGCAGATTGTCACGATGTTTGTGACTCAACATGTCCTTATGGCTGCTATCCATACCCTGATACGGACTATTACATGCCACCACCAGCACTACTACAGCCACAACCGGCGCCTCAATCGAGTAACAAAAATGTTCAAAACATTTCACCTTATATAATCATCTCCGTCGCGCTGCTAGCTAGCTTGTTCCTACTTCTCAGCTACTACATAATCGTCGTGAGGAATTGCACGAATTGGAGCCGTAGGAGACACTCGCGAACGCAATCAGAAGGCGTTAGCGAAGAGTTCTTGGATGAAAATCGAGGTCCGGTTATTGATTATCCCATTTGGTACATCAACACTGTAGGTCTTCAGCCTGCAGTTATTAATTTGATCACAATTTTCAAGTACAAAAGGGGAAATGGTTTGATTGATGGAACAGAGTGCTCTGTTTGTTTAAATGAATTCCAAGATGATGATTCTCTTAGGTTGTTACCAAAATGTAACCATGCCTTTCACATCCATTGTATCGATACATGGCTTAGATCACACACAAATTGTCCTTTGTGTCGCGCTGCTATCATCTCCAACACTGCAACTGCTCCACTGGGATCAATCGTCCCAATTTCGAGTACTAATATGAATTCCAGCGAAGATAATGGTTCGCAGAGAGAAGCAATTGTAGAAGTGAACAACAACAATCATTCCAGAGATGGGGAATTTCAAGAAAATGCGAGGAGAGTTAGTCGTGAACAAGATGAATTCCAAGAGATTGAACGTCCTGAAACTTCGAAAAAAGAAGTGAACTTGAATAGGGGTGATAAAGATGTGGAAGTACAACCAATGAGGAGGTCTGCTTCTATGGATTCTTCAATTTCTACAACCATAGGACTACAAATGGGTGTAGGTGAAAAAAGCTGTGTTGAGACGACAACAAATGAGGAAATAGGTTCAAATTCAAGAATGAAAAGGGTGATGGAGAGTGCTTCTTCAATGAAGAGATCATTGTCTTATGGTGGGAGGTCATTTTTCTCGAAACAACATCGAAATCCAAGTTCAGTACTTCCATTATGAAAAGGAGCTGGTATAAAATTTCTGAGAACGAAAACATTGTTGTTCTCTAAATTATGTGTCCAAAAGAAAGGTTCAAGATCCTGAATCATGACATAACAGTAAGAGAAATGGGGATTTATGGTAGTTTTAAGTCTGAAATCTAACTGACATACACTCGTTGTACAGGTATGTTAAAAAGCTTAGTTCATAAATGAGTTACAGTCTTAACTTCTACTACCTCAAGATCATCTGTAACGTGTTGTGCGCCAAATTATAAGTATAATTCCTTATACATGAAGGATGATGACCAAGTAAAATCTAGTCGTGGAAATGCTCTTTAGCGAAAATGCAACGTAAAACTCTGCATAATATAAACCCAATGTGGTCCAACACTTTTCAGAAACCAACAGGAGCTTAGTGCACAGTCTTTTTAAAGTCAATCCACATGTTTCAAAGTAATAAAATGCTTTGATTGGCGATTCTCAGTGCAGTGAAAAAATGATGATGCTTTTAGCTGTCGCAGTAAGTCCTGAATTTGATACAAAGTTTTCAGAGAATGAAAGCTTATTACTTAGATTATAAGATTCATAGATATCCTTGAACTCAAAGAAATGTAGACTCAAAATTCTCAGTGCCTTATAGGAAACTAAGAGTATTTTTACTTGGATTGAGAATAGGGGCAAAGGGGAAACTTTCATGCCTGATTTTAATTAAATTTTTGAAATACAATAAAGTTGGGATTGGCCTTGAAACTCGTTCTGACAAGATAACCTCTAAACATTCTCAGGTGATCATGAAAGACTAAAATCCAACTTTTTTGAATCTATCAAATCGGAGTAAAGCGCTGGGATTCAATTTAATTACTTTTGAGAAATATAATGCATGTTAATTCATAAAATCATCTTAAAATACAACAATTTCAAGATTAAGAGTAAAGCTCGGTTGGAAGCTCTCTCTTTTACGTTCCTCCTATCTTAGGTTAAGAAAACATGCACGACGAATTCATACAAGCAAACATAATTTTAAATATTACCCGTACAATTTAAATAGCAAAATTCTACCATTCCAAAGTGAGGAACTTTTGCTAAAAAAAAGTAAACATTTTCTCCAATAGTTAGTAGCTAAAATAATTAACATTTGATTCACGAAAAAGACTAATTTGGCTAATTCATCGATTTTGGAACGCTCGGTCTAATTTACAAAAAACAAAATTAAAAAAAAAATCGAATCATAGCTAATAAAATACCCCTTATTCTTCACTACAACTTAATTGAACGACGGTAACAACATGATACTTTACCAATTTTTGATATATTAGAAAAAAATATTATATAATATCTTGTCTCCGAGCAATGAAATTACATTTTTAAAAAAAAAAAACTGAAATTCAGAGATAGAGTCAATTTTTTTCTTTTAAAATTTTCTTCCTTTGCAGAGGAAGTCTCAAAACGAAGTTAGATACAGTCAGACCTCTCTATAACAACATCCCTATATAACAACACTTCTCTATAAAAGCCAAGCTTTTTCGGAACCGATTTTTATGTTATGTTATAATATATGTTCTCTATAACAACACTTCGCTATAACATTCCAAAATATTCATAACAAACTAGATTATTATAAAGAGATTTTAATGTAAATATAAACTAAGCCCCAAGGCAGTTGGTAGCCAATTTTTTAATACCCCAGAAGGAGTATAGATATTTCACAAAGAGAGAGAGTCAAGAAAATAAAAAACAATAATATCATAGGTTGTGGATATGGCAAGTTTATGGACCTTTTGATATTGCCCTTCAAACAACTTGAAATAAATAAAAAAGACACGATTCATTAGAAGCCCTAACTACAGGAATAAATAACCATTTACTTTGTCAATTGGTTAAGGAACACCTAACTAAGAGAATCTCTTTAGCTGGTACTCTCCCGTTCACTTTTAATTGTTTATTTTTGACTTTGCAATCTCTTTAAAAAAAATAAACAAAGCATATATTTTACAGTTTTACTCATAATAATGATAACATTTCAAAAAGTTTTGGAAAATGATTTGGGGAATGAGTAGTTAATGATAAGGGTAAAATATGAGAAAAAGTTTATCTTTTTCTTGCTTTGCTAAAAATTGAACAAGTAAAAGTAAAAATATATTTTTAGTATAGTGAACAAGTAAAAGCGAATGGAGAGAATACTTGGTAAGATTTTTTTTTATTCCCCCACGTAATAGCAGTTAATCATTTCGGCAAAAACAAGTAGTAATAATTAATAGTGATTCAATTATAAAACAAAAATAATGCATCTATCTTTTTCCAAATGTGCTTTTGCTGGTTAGAAAATAGCCACACAGCTCTCTCTCTCTCTCCCTCCCTCTCCACCACCTAGGATGTACAAAGAAAAACAACAAATCGCACCAAATCGATAATCCAAGTCAAACCGGAAAACACAACTCGATTATGATTTGGTTTGGTGTTAGAAAACAATTCGATTATAATTGATTTGGTTTTGTTTTAACTAAAAAAAGTCAAATCAAAACCAAACCAAACCAACACGGCATTACATGTATATAAGTTTTAAAAATATTTTATACATAAATATAATTATTGTAATATAATTTGTAATTATTTAATAAATATTTGCATAGTTCTCTCTTTTAATGTATTATTTCAAGCTTGGACTTAGAATTTTTGAATGGTCAAATATGTTTTACAGCCTTTAAAAGTTAGTAACTCAAATAAAGCCCAAAGCAAAATCAAATCAATACTAATGCTAAAAAAAAATTCAATTCAATACTAGGAATGACAATAGTATTAGATATTTTTTTTTAGTTTTGCATTAGTTTAGCTAGTGAAAATGCATAACTTTATTTATTATTACTTAGTCATGTTATTAATACTTAGTACTTATTAGTCGTACTTATTTTAGCATGACTTAGTACTTTTGAATTATGTTTATTTTCATCATGGTTTATTAATTAGCAATGTTTATTTTTATTATGGCTTATTAATTAGCAATGCTTATTTTATGCGGCTTGTTGAGTATTTTTTAATATAATATCATGACTCATCTCACATTATTTTGTATTATTTTCTTGGATAACATCTTATATAGTTTTATCCTACTAGGACCTAAAAAAATATTAGAGCACAAGTTATATATCTTATGCTATGAAGAGTTTACCGGAAGAAATCAGAAAAACCCGAGAAAAATCCAAAATGAAAAATCCGACTTTTGTTGGTTTGGTTTGATTAATAAATTTTAAAATCCGAAACAATTGATTTAATTTGGTAATTAAAAAGTCCGAACCAACCCGACGTATGTACACCCTGCTACCATCCAAAGTATTTCGATGGCTCAGCAGATCCCAGCAAGACACCCCATTTGGAAGTTAAACTCTAATAAAGCATTAGAAAAGTGTCGTCAATGTCATAGTTAATCTTTCTCTTAAAAACCTTATTCACATTCGATGTCTATATGAAATTACATTAACTTACTATAAGCTGAAGTAAAAATAAATATTAATTAATTATGGTTACCTGATAAAAGACTATATAGAGAACATATGTGAATATTTATTATTTGGTGTAAATACCACAAATTTGTAACTTCGCTCAATTCTTTGTTAGCACCAAAAATACTTTAAGATGAAAACTATCATCTTTTACCCAAGAGCTATCATGTCAAGTTATCGAGGACAAAAATTAGATGTGGAAGCGTACCTGAATCCATAAGAACGACTGAAATTCTTCAGTCTAGAGGTTAGTAGTCTTCCAAAACAAGACGTAAGCCGCAATCACCTTCCTAACGATGGGATGATAGAAAGAAAACCCTACGTCTGATTTGGGGACCATAACCCTATTAATAATAGGTGCACAAGTTTATGTATTTCTAATTTAGCCAATCATTAAATCAGAAACTATATCCGGGTATCTACAAATAAAATATCATACTTTAGAAGGCGTCTTGTAGACCTATTTAACTTTAATGCCTTAATAGATCACTAACAATTTGGGTCAAGCTTTTAACAATATCAATCAATATACAAATATTCTTAATACAAAATATACGTGCAAGTCCATACATTCTTACAATCTCCCATTTAGACTACACACACACACACACACACACACACACACACATATATTTATATATATATAAATTTATAATTGTATGTCACCTTATGAGCTTAAAAAAATATTTGCTATCATAAACCAAAGTACCTTCGAACAATCTCATCCATCAATCATGCCAATATTGGACCAAGGCGGCTTTTGTTACATTTATCATAACTAAACTTTCCTTGATCACGAATGCTAACATAACCAAATGACATAGATAAAGTATGGATCCGTAGCGTGAAAATTATATGCAATGTGATCCAAGCATGCCTATTTTCAACTGGTCCAACTGAAAAACAAGTCAGAGTGAAAAATAAACTAAATACTTTATTTCTGCAGAAATAACCTCAAATATCCTTAAACTGAAATCATAACCTGAAATCTTAAACTGAAACCAAATTGTATCCATAAAGATCATTTAAGAGGTTACAAACTTCCACCGAAAATGAATATCTTTAAATGACATGACACCCTTATAAGTAATATGCTCATGAAGACCTTGGGTGGTAGTCCCTTAGTAAGTGGATCCACAACCATTAAGTTTGTACCAATATTCACTATAGATACCTACCCATTCTGAACTCTTTCGTTAACAATCGGGAACTTTATGTCAATGTGCTTTGACTTTTACCAAACTTTTGTTGTTATTAGAATACAACACTGCTAAGATATTGTCACAAAATAACTTAAGTGTTCCTTTTACTTTATTCATAAATTCGCAGCCAGTGACAAAGTTTTGCAATCATATTCCATAATCATATGCCACATAATATGCTATAAAGTCAACTGTCGTGGTGAAAAGAGCTATTAGTGTTCATTTAACACTCTTCCTTATATAGCTCATCAACCAAGTATATATCATATTATATTGTGTCACGAGCCAATTTCACCTATAGGTCGTGATGGCACCCAACACTATAGCTAGGCAAGCCAACTAATAAATTAAACATATATTAATAAAATTTAAATCCAAAAAAAATAATAAGACACCAATTGTACCAATGTGTGTGTGCCAAGACCTGGTGTCACAAGAGTATGCGCATCTATTAGATTATACAAAACTCCAAGTGCTGTCTGAAATGAAAATAGACAGAATTAAAAATACAAGAAGAGGCACTGGTAGCTGCAAGACGGCTCAGAAAGGCAGCTCACCACTATGCCCCTGAATAACGAGGATGTGCAATGATAAGTC